ATGAGCAGACCACTAACAGCATTACTAGCCAAACTCTGTTGCTAATTAACTATTTCTAATCACATAATTCCTACCCCTAGATTCTAATTTGTAATTGTAATTTGTAATTTTTTTTTGGTTTGTTTGTTCGTTTGTTTGTTTGTTTGTTTGTTTGTTTTTTGTTTGATAGTGTAGGAGTCTCGTTAATGGAACGTCAGCTCTGTGAGATCTCTCCTGCCAAATTGTTTTTGGCGAAGCTTATAAATAAAAAAATAAATAAATAAAATAAAATAATAAAGTCGAGAAAATTTGTCTTATATCTTGGGGGCGTTTTTTTTTTAATAACACAATTGTTCCCCTCGCGCTTGTTGGATATGAACGGAGATTATTATAGCCAGCCAACTCGGCTCTACGCGCCTCTTTGGCTATCTATCATCTCATATCCAACGCGGGCTCGTGGAATAATTGTTACGTGTACTTTCGCCTAATGCATTAAAACTAGACTTAGAATACTGTGGCTACAGTTTTAATTCCGTTTCGTTTTTTTCATTTCCGGTTGTTTCGTTACGTAATATCACGTGGCTTATTCCCACATGCTTTTAGATTTTGAAGTCGCTCGTTACGTATGTTGTAGTCCTGGTATGGATCGCTGTATTCCCAATCAGGGTGAAACAGTTCTTTAACGTGCTTAAGGCACGTTTTTAAATAAAATGGGCCGCAAAGGAAACAAATACAAAGTTACAAAGGTACTCACATATCGGTACCGCTTGTGCCAAAGGGGTATAATTTATGATAATTTATTATTATTATAATTTATGATAATTTAAGATAACGAAAGGACGAAAGTTCACCAAGACTACTCAAAAACTGACGAAGAATTGATTACAGGAACGCTAAACTTGCCTTATATATGCGCGTGGTGGCGCTGAAAGGTCCGATTACAAAACCAATAAAAATATAGACAAACAGATAGACATTGTAACTCAGTGTTCGTATCTAGGATCATTCTGAAATTTGTAAACAAATCGATTTAGTAAAAATGAGCCTTCTGGTTGGTGTCTTTAACACTCACGGTGCATTGTTTGGTTTTTAGGTTGACGTGTACAGTTTTGGTGTTCTTCTGTGTGAGATTTGCATTCGGGAACTGCCAGACCCTGAACGGCGTAAAGAACAAGTTGCCATGGTTACAAACCGCGTGATTCGAGCTCTCATTAGGGGATGTTTACAACCAAATCCTGCAGCGAGACCCTGCATGGAAGACATCATACGTGAGCTAGAAAAAGGACTTGAAAAACTAAAGGAAAGAACAAGTTGCCATGGTTGCAAACCGCGTGATTCGAGCTCTCATTAGGGGATGTTTACAACCAAATCCTGCAGCGAGACCCAACATGGAAGACATCATACGTGAGCTGGAAAAAGGACTAGAAAAACTTTTGAATATAATTGTATGAACGCTTAATGTTGATGAATTTGACATTCCAAAGGTAACAATATCATTATGGAAACAACTGATAAGAATTTAAATTTTTCAAAGCTACAAAAAACGCCTTTTTAGAAAATAAAACGGTTGGCAAGTTCACAACCTTATCAATTTTCAACGAAAACATTCAGTTAAAGTATACCACCCTGAAGGAAAAACTTTACTTTGAGTTTAACCTCAATCGTTTATACCCATATAACTTACCGTATGAAGGAATTACTTGACAAAAAAACTGTGAATGAATAGTGACGTGATACCTCCGTGAAACTGTTTCAAACTTGTTTCACAGAAATGGTCCGTGATCGGTGTTGAGCGCAGCCATTATGTCAAAACGGTTTTTCTTTCGCTAGCCAACCAAACGATATCGCAAGATATTTGGGCTCGTTTCGTTTGTCAAGTTGTATGTACTCTTCATAGTTCAGTTGATGCACCGATTGCGCATAATCCATCACACTTTGTTTCAGTGCGATCAGTCTAAAAGTTTTTGTGTACTCACATTTTGATCTAGAGTAAGTGTTCAAAAATTAAAGAAAATACCGTTAAACAAATATAGTTATTTTTGCTTTGCGAAGAGCTCTTTCTTTTTCAATTTAGACAGTCATGTAATGCAAAACGTAATGTTTGTCATTCAAAGATTCTGAAAAAAATGGTTAGAAACAAATACTTGCTTTTGGAAGATTAGATCACTATTTTTTGATTACCGCGTATTTCGTTTCCGCAATTTGTAGTTTTTCACTTGATCAGACGTCTTATCAGCCTTGATTAGGCAAGTGTTCATTTTTTTCAATCGATCAAAGAAGATAGCTGTAATTTAGCCGAAATATTGTATAATCATTCAAAGTAATAAAAGAAAACTTCTGATTTGACAGTTTTAGAAATTCTCATCTCATTTCTTCCCCACATTGTCAGCTGGCGCTTGACTTTGGAATTTAGGGTTAAGCCCTCAAATCTGTACTACCTTCGATTAATCTTTTAACAAATGTCAGATACTCCATAGTAGAAAAAAATGTTGCTTCATGAAATGCAATTCATTACCTTGACACTAACCATGACAACAGCTCGTTCAAACAAGGAATTTCTTTGTTTTTTCATGATCTGCAGACGTCTTGCTCAGCGAATATGTCCCAGCGAATTCCTTTTCCCTCCTCTTGAAACAGTGTTTTCCGCGACTAAAACTAAATCTGACTTTCAGAAAAGACCACGGCGTTGAGAGAACTTTACCGTTTTGCGACCAGCGATTTTGATTAAACCATACAATCTTACTAATCCTCATCATAAAGTCGTTGTCATGTCTCGAGTAAAAGTGAGGTTTTAATATTTAGCCACTAGATGATAATAAACGCACTGGTAGATTTGTTTTCATTGGTCATTGGTGTTAAGATGTTCACTAAGTGAAAAAGTATTTTGCATTGAAGTCTTTGCTTTGAGCACTTCATTGCCGTATTACAGTACCAAAGTTGAAACCAAAAGTGCGTTTTCGAAAAGGAAGAAACTTCATATTTGGATTCCTTAGAGAAAATCGTCGAACATATTGACTAATTAACCCCCAAGATCTGAATATTAATTCTCCTCACTAGCTACTACACATTTCCTTGTAAATAAGTTATGAGAATTTGGTGTTAGATCAAGATAACATTTCTACCTGACAAGAGTTTGTATTCTCATCACCCATTTGCTGGATAATGTGAGGATGTTATGGGGAGAAGTTTCATGTCAATCACTTCTGGGAGTAAAAGGTGTAACGTAGAATTTTACTTCTTGTTAAATCTAGCATTTGAGTGGAACTAAAGTGTAGGTTAATTCAGTATTTAACACCATTGAGGCAACCTAAAAATGGTGATGATTCTCTTGGTGCATGTTGTGTATGAGAGGAAATTCATAATATGAATCCACTCATTCTCCTTGGATAAGGTTTGTTGCAATACTTAGCTATGGTTTATTTTAATGCCACAAAAGATCAGGGGAAGCATCCGTTGAAAAAAAAAGGTTTACAGCATTTCACTTAAAGTACAAACTTGTTAAACGTGGGACATTGAGAGGGGAGGGTTGGTGACTCAAATGGGGTGCAGAGAACAACTACCCACCTGCTTTGCTGGGCTTGCAAGTCAAGCCAGTGTCTTCCACTCTTTTCACTTTTCCTCTCCCAATTCACTATACAGCCCATGACCAAAGTGACAGGGTTTGTAAGGGAACAATTTCAATGTTTTGACATTATACAGTCAAACAGAAATAGTTTTTGTGTTTGTTGTCACTGGAGAACTGGCAGGGATGAAAGTTGATATCATCTCACTGCATGATCCATGACTAATGCTCCAATACAAACTTCACAATTGGAAGATATGACTATTTAACAGAGTCTGGTAGAAGAATAATTTGCTTCATTTTTTGGCGTAGTCTTTTGGCTCTCTCCTTGCTATAGACAGATCTTGTTATTTTCCCAAAAATTACCCTAAAATTGTTACTCATTCACATTAATTCCCAAAAATTACCTTAAAATTGTTACTCATTTACATTAATTTTCAGACATTAACTTGTCCACACCTCTGGGTAACATGATCACTCATTAAATGTGTCGCTAAGGTCCACTTGATTATTGCAGATGAGATCTAGCAACTCATCAGTAACTCACTAAATTTACTAGAAGGTATACCAGCAAATTACATGTACATCTTATTTCACAGTTACCAGTGCTTAAATTACTGTCTAAGATGATTCAGCCAGAAAACAGGGTTTAGCAGTAGCACAGAGGATGAGGACAATGTCTCCCCCCACCCCTTCCCCCCTATTTTCTGACTGAACCCTGAAAACAGGCTTTTGCATTTGGATCTCTAATGTTTTCATAATGGATTTCTAATTTTTTCATTTGCATAATTAGCTCACAGTTTTCTTTTTAGCCCACTGATTGGTCAGTAAAACATTCAATGAGTGTGTCCAGAGAGAGCAGAAAGGCTTCTCCCTTCATTCCTTCTGGGTTCCTTTTGCTTATGGTTTTGTTGAGAAAAGACAGAATAAATATAGCTCATTAAACGTTTCATTGCGTAGTATCCCTGAGTTTTTTTATGAGGTGTACCCTATTTTGATGAGCCCGCAGGGTAAGTCAATAAATAATGAAATTTCATTGTCATTTAACTACTTTTCTTTGTTCAATTTATCTTATAAACTTGGACCAATTTTCACCGGCTATTCCAACTCTTTGTCATCAGAAAAATAATGTAAATTGTCCGCCACCTTTTTTTCGTAACTTTAATCCAATTCATTGCTTACACAGTGCGAGAAAACCTGTCTAACCAGTTCTCTGGAGTACAAATACTACGAGTTATTTGTACTCGTTTTGGACATTATAACTACTCTATGAAGCACAGTTGGATAATAAAGTATTCTACTATGTCTACAATTCAAATTCAAACAGTTCATTTGTTCCTTTTCCAACTTTTTCAAAGCCCCTCTTTATGGAAATCAGCTGCTTCTCAGTAAACTGATATTTCTCATTATTGAAGATTTCTTTTTCCAGAGTTTTAAAGAATGGTCCTGTTTCAATATCTACACGAGAGAGACACCAAGCAAATTGCTGTATATCTCTTTCACTAAAATCAGACAATTCATTGGCTAAAAGTGAAGAACACAAAAGTTGGTAGAAATTTTTGCTTCCTTTGTTGGCCTTAACAAATCCTTGCAGGAGCAACAGTTTTTCTTCCTTGGGAAACACACTGATGCCACGCTGAGATACTGCAGCTTCAATTGAGTCAGACAGCCCACTATCTGACTTCTCTGTTCTTACCAGACACCATGCAAGCTGGCATAATTGAGTACTACCAATTTGTTTAACACTGCTGATGCACAACACGCCCTCAATTTCACTGATTCATTTCTCATCACGTCTCTGAGCAGGAAAGAATGGAAGTAGGATTAACACAAGTTCATGTGTGTGGAGTGTTTGAACACCATGGTGAAACAACCCGTCGTTGGCAACATTAAATATCGCTCCTGAAAAAAGTCTCTCACTGAAAGTCCAAGATTTCATCATTGCATAAATGCATCACACCCAGTGAGGCAATTTTACTGTCCAGTGACTGAATAATGCATTGCTACATTTCTCAGCTTTCCCAGGGGAGGACATTCATCACACAGTAATCTCATGTGTGGGAAATTAATGTCTCCAACCCCCAAACCCTGCAGGAGACGGGTCCTCCATTTATTCGTCGCTATCTGAGAAGACTAGAATATCTAACCATTTCTTGATGTTATAGAAAGGTAGCATATTCTTCTCAATTATTTTAAGACCTTGAGTGTTGGTTCAGCTGGGGCTCGAACCCTCGACCTCCCGCACAACAGTCCAGAGCACTATCCATTGGGCTAACTGGGTGGTAAACACTAAACAGTTCAAACAGGAAAAGTTCTATTAACATGAGGTTCTTGCAAAGGAAAAGGAGAGATCTTTCTCGTAAGCCCTACTGCATGGCTGCACCTCCCCACTATGCAGTTTCAAATACCTTTTTGATGACCAGGACAAGAAAAAATGCATTTTTAATGACAAAAATTTTATGCCCTTCTCCAAAAGAGTCAAGACACCTATCCCAATCATGTGGAAAATATTTTCTGTCAAAGTGCTGCTCTGCAAGGTAATGCCATCCTCCAGTGAACTCACCTTTACCCTCAAACAAGGGTTTGAAAATGTGAGAAGGAAAATCGATTGTCACTGGAAGGCAGCATTTAGATTTCAATCTTCCTTCTACAGCTATTCTGAAGCTGTCTACTGCCTGAACTACTTCATTCTTTCCTGGCTGTGGATTTTCAAACAACCTAACAATACAGAATCAGAGGCTTTATTTTACGGAGGTTTTCACTATCCACACAAATAAGAGACTGTGTATGCTTCTCTGCACTTCATTCCATGCCTCATAAGCTTAAATAATTTAAATAAGTATATAAGTTTATTTAAAATTTTAAATAGGGCAGAAACAAAAAAATTATTTTGCATCAATGTCAAAGGTTCACATGAAATTAAACTTAGAACACACACAAAAAAGAGAGAAGAGTAGTTGAAGTTTTTTTTGTTTATCGTTTGGTTGTTGTCGTTTGCCGTAAGACTACAGTTTTCTGTGTTAGAGTAAGTGTCTGTTTGGATTTCCCGTTTCGCTTCCGAATACCTAACTTATATTGAAGGTCGTTTTGGTTCAATTCTTACAAGCGGGACTGTTATGTAAGTGCTAATGTTCCTTTCCTTGAGCTTATATATAGTTCTTTTGTGAGTTTGTTTGAGTTTATAGCTAACTTTGCATCTTGCCTCTACATCGGAATGTTTGGAATGTTGGTTTGTCTATTGGCATTTAGCTTAGCTTCTTCCTTATAAATTCATATTTCAGTTTACGATAAGTACTTGGATACCACGACTACGTTAAATAAAACGATTCAAGGCTTGTCCGTAAAATATATCCTCGCTTCATAGTGTGTCTTCATTTGCGAAACTCATAGTTGTCGTCGAAATTTTGCTTCGCTTGTGTCGACCGCTACGCACTGAACTTAAATATATGCTTTTGTTTTCAAATGATACGCCTTGTTTGTCAAGACGCTAAATCAATCAATCAATCAATCAATTCTTTATTTGATAAAGCAGGTTAAAATTACAAAGATTACTGAAGTAATATAGTTGCATCGGCAGCTATATATCAGCTGATGTGGACCTGCAATGTAAAACTAATTAAAATATATGAAGTAAAATATAGGCTAAAATATAGCTCTAAAAGATGTAAATAAATGGCTGGGTATTCTGAAGTTGCTCTTGGAGGTTTTATCTTTTCTTATTCTAAATCTAATCAGAGCGGCCAAGCGATAAAAACGGGCCGCAAACTGACGAGCGAACAGATCAAACTTAAATTAGCTTATTTGTTTGCTCACCTCAATTCCTTCGCCTTTCGAAATGGGACGCTCAACCTCGCTCATAAACATCCTTTCTCTTCCTCTTCTTCGGCCGGTAGTCCTTGTCTAAGTGACTAAGGAGATCCACTGTTGACGTGTTTTGTAATTTTTTGTAATCCATCTAAAAGGCACGATAGAAGCGCTCGACAGCTGCGATTTAGCTCCGATTTAGCAATGTACTGGTAGTCTCTAGAGCCTGCGTTTCGGTCAGCGGTACCGCGCGCAGAAGTGAAATGAATTTCTGGCCATGGGAGAAGAGACGATCACAGGCGCGTAGCGTCCTCTACGCATATACGCACGTGCGTACTTGAAGTGACCAGAAAAATTTGAAAACAATGTTGTGTTTGCGCCAAGTTTGCTCAAAATAAGGGCAAGACGCTTTGTTCTTTGCTTGTATTCACACAACTATTTCAAACAAGAAATAAAGAACGCAGTATTTTTAGCTCAGTTTACTTAGGTTTCTAGATCAAATGTACTTGTGCGTACCTGAAAAAATGACCACGCTACGCGCCTAAATCACTGGCTGATATGACTTTCTTATATAAAGTACTTAATGGCAACATTGATATTAACGTCAGACAGATTATAGATTTCTATTCGGAAACTGACCGCTGCTCACTTAGGGCTAAGGATTTTTTAACTTTAAAGAAGAAATATGCTAGAACTAATGTCTTAAAGTATAGTTTTTTCCATAGAATTACTGACCAGTGGAATCAACTACCGTTAGACATTCGTGTTTGTAATAATGTAAATATTTTTAAGTCTAGAGTTAGGAAATTTTTCCATGATTCTTAAGTAGCTATTATATTTATATATTTACAGTTTATCCTTTGGTTTTTTAATTCATAGATTGTAATAAATAAAATAAATACGAATTTACCAAAAGTTGGACTGTTTACCGGCGAAGGGCTAAGAAGAGGTTTATTTTTGTAAGAAAAGAAGCTGTAACGTACGCACCAGTAACATCACTCAATGGCTATCCGAACCATATACGTTTATTTCTCGATCAGTGGTTTCTATAACAAAATTAAATTACACCAGGTCTAACTACGGAAAATAAATGGCATGAACAAAATAATAAACGATATAAACGCGGCGAAATGAAAACATAAAACACACCTGACGGTTTGGATCATGAAATAACGCGAGACGCAGCTTAAAGACAAACAACACCAAACTACGTAACATAAAGAAGCTTTACGCGCGAACACTACAATATATATGTTGACAGGAGGGGACTGAACCCCACCACGTAAACGGACCGCTGGCCCCAAATTCTTTGTAACAATATGTGTAATTGGAACACACATCTCGAATACATGATTAGTAAGGCAAGCTCCAGATTAGGATCCAAGAACAAATGAGATGACAGGGTGAAGAACAGAAACCGAAACAGCACAGATCACATCTATGATATCTCAGTAAAAGTTGAAGATTTTTAATGACAAAAAAAAAACACTACTCCATAAATCACAGAGACCTGAAAAGCGAAGGATCCTTTGAAATCCTTTGACAGTAGCACGTGATTTTCAGTTTTTTGCTTAATTTCGTCGATGTGCCTGTCATTGAGCATCGTCCAAGAAAGGAAATACAAAGTTACTCCTGGTAGCTGGCAATGCGGGATTGAGTTGGTTTTGCTTTACTCCGCTCTGTGATTGGTCCAAAAAAAACTCACGCCTCTCACTCGACCAATCAGATGCAAAATGAAAACCGATCACGATGTGGTCATCCGCGTTTTCCCGCGCTTTGGGCAGTGTGCTTGTTTTACTTTGGGTTCCTANGGATCATGAAATAACGCGAGACGCAGCTTAAAGACAAACAACACCAAACTACGTAACATAACGAAGCTTTTACGCGCGAACACTACAATATATATGTTGACGGGAGGGGACTGAACCCCACCACGTGAACGGACCGCTGGCCCCAAATTCGTTGTAACAGAAGCCGAGGCTATTTACCAAACGAAGCATTCAAGCAGGTTCATATACGATTCTTATTATTATTAGCGCATCAGCACAAGCATTTCTTCACTTGCGGTAAAGTACGAGCCATAAAGTCACGTGAGCTGGCAAAATGGCAGCTATGAGCGCCAGACCCAGGCCGAGGCGTGAGTAGTACCTCTCAAGGGGAGGAAGTCGGTGATCAATAGGGAGGTCTTGTAGGAAGCTTCCACATGCTCTCTTGTATTAACTGCTGAACAGGTGGTGAGAGGCGAGCAGAAACTAGCGGGAAGGGGGAGTCACGTGTTCCTAAGGTGCTCTCTTACTTAATTGTGACTGGCTGCTTGCACTTCACTTCCCCGGCCTGAAATTACATTTTTTCTGTAGACTTCTCTTACGAAGAGTGAATTTTATTATGTTGAACGAGAAAGTTTAAATTTACCACTTTACACAGTATTTTAGGGAAGGAAAACGCCAAAGGATACGCAAGTTCAAAAAAAAAAAAAAAAAGACAAAAAGAAAACAAACGCGAATTTCAAACGATCTTGAAAGCTACTAGGATGTTTTTATTATTAGTTTTAAGCGAGAGACATCGTCAGTATGAGCCATCTTGGTTCAGAAGCACATCCATTTAATTAAAAATGTTGGCTGAAGTCAAATTTCGAAAAGACGGCGGGCCGGGTGTCAAAACTTCTTGTAAATATTGACCAGGTTTACTTAAGAAGAAGCTTCGGTCCATTAAATGAGACGAATGAAAAAGGCGTGGGAGGATAAAAGAGGACTTTAAATTCGACTAAAGCTCAAGAACATAGGCTCTGTATGCCGATTGGCATCCCTAGATGTGTCTACTGCATATTTAATTTAACGCACGAAAACGTAATGGCATTTTTTAAAAATACATGATGAATTTTAATCTGGCCAAAAAATGCATATGCATGTCTTCCCATGCATTACAATGTCTGACAGCTTGAGAATGCCTCAGTTAAAAGGTTATAGCAAATTGGTTGTTTTGTTTCCGTAGAAATTAATACGATGAATTGCATATGTGCGGCAAACTTTACGCGCGAAGCATTCGGCTAAATCTTTGGATGCTAAGCTTCAAGGAATCTTCTGGGTTATGTACCCTCCTGAAAAAATTTCCAAGAACGTAAATTCATCGACAGGTTTGAAAAGTGTCATCCTAGATCCGCCAGAAATTAATGGAAAGAGTCAATGGTTACTCAAACGCAAACGGTAAAAGGCGTCAACAATTGGAAAACAGGTGATGGTAGTTGAGAGAGTAAATGTGATATGACACAACAGTCACCTACAAGTAAGCGAACTGTCGCCACGTTGACTGCAATGTTAATTTAACTTTTGGAACGGAAGTCGACCAAAATTTCGATTGACGAATTTCCCACAAAGACGAATGAGGATTGCATCTCAAGTATAGCCCAACTCAAATTAAGATATGCGTAAGTATATAGTCAAGTTGTTCAAAGATCCTCATCCTTTTTTATCCTAATAGCGGTAGAAGAACACGGTTACGTAAAAATAAAGCCACCTGGAGCGAAAATCGTTATCACGAATGTTAGCTTTGAGATTCTTGATTATGTCGGAAAGAATTAGAATCTTTCTTCTTGAGGAGACGAAATAACTATCCGGAGCTAATTGTCACTGTTGCCTGTCTCCAACAGGCATAAAACAAAAGCAAACCATTTTGTTTTGAGAGCCTGCAATGCGCCATTTTGGAAAGTATACCGTGTTTTGGTTGTCGGTGATCCTTAATGACTACTGTAGAAACAACTACGTTTATTTTTACTATAAGATTACATAAAATTAAGAAGCAGTATGTAAAATAAAGATACAGACAGTTACTGGTTAACCAGAAAAAACTCCTTTGAGGCTACACTGGCTGGGTGACCACTATGTATTTAAAATTGAAATGTTCACAGTTGTTAGAAAAAAGCTTCAACTAACTAAATAAACCGAACACGCACAAAGATCCTGTTAACAATTTCAACGAACTGCTTTGCCGCAATGATAAGTGCCGATCAGTTCATATGATTGCGCTGTGTAAAAAGAAAATAAAATCTGATGTATCTTTCGTAGTTGCATTTCATTTTCACGGCTTGATATTTGAACTAAAGGCTAATGTCATCCGTCTAAAGGCTCATTAATCTTTTTACACCCTAACGCCAGTATGCATATTCTCCATACTGTTCTCTATACGTTTCCTAAGGTGCTAACAAGGAGAATTTGTTTAGCAAGCAAAAGCTTCCTTAGTTGGCGATCGTTTCCTTTCTTCCCATGGGCTTTGTGTGTGATTCAGCACTTTCACTGTAATGATAAATTGGATGCTATTTGCTCTCAAGGATTAGAGAGTGTTGTTGCACGAAGGATGGTATGGATTCATTAATACCATAGTTATTTCATTCGTAATTAGTTAAAATAAACCTTTAATTAATTTGAATTGTGTTTAATTCTTTATTTTCAGGTCATGATAAAAATCACTCGTCTAAGGACGGTTTCTTATTAGTTGCCTTCGTCAGCACCATCTTCATCACATGTGTCGATCATGGTGAGTCATATGAGAGCTACGAGCTGCGAATCGATTAATTGTACATGGTCCGGACCAAATTCAACGGCCTGGATGACACGAAAAGTAAACAAAACTATGGGGGCCAGTAGTGAGAACTGAGTCCGTAGCAAAGAACGTTATAGAACACGAGCAACATGGGTGAGCAAACTGCCTGAAACGAGGGAAAACGCTAGGGACCAAGATACGATTGGATTCAATTTTTGGCAGGAAGATGGTGCGAGTTTTCTAGACCAATCACATAGCTGGAAATAAGGGGAACCAATACAATTCCCGGATTGCTTTCGACACTCATTGAAAACTGCTCTATAGTGAAAGTTACACAGTGAGTGATGTAAAGCTGACGCATGACGGGAAGGCAGAACGAATTAAGAAGCTGATTTATAAGTATAAAAATTTTATTTCAGGAGTGACAGGCGATTGTGATGGTCCTGATGAAGCAAACATGGAACCCCAACATTGTACGGGGTATGAGATCGCAACGCATCCAGTATCGACAATAGTCCAGTGCTTGGACGAATGTCTCCGTCTTCCACACTGCGACAAATTAATTTTTACCGGGAATGGAAGCGAAAGCTGTAAACTTTTGAGTACAGATGGCATCTCCACTGCTTTTGATGCTCGAAACTTACCGCAGATAACCGGTGCATGCGCACCAACGGACATGAATGTAAGTAAAAATTTTATTCACGATGATTTTGAATCAGCGTTCACTATGCAGCACTGTCTTAGCTTGTTGAATGAGAGGTCTGGGGACCTGGTAAGAGATCTGGTAAGGAGCGTTGGAGTGCACAAAGTCCAGCCAATCACTTGATTTCGATCCTTTAGTATTTTTCAACTCAGTTTTTATAAGAGACTTCTTCACCACCCTTCGAAGCTGGGATGGACCGACATTCATCCAAGGAGTGGCAGTACTTCTCGTTGTTTGATGAAACTAGGATAAGCTGTGTGCATGTCGTGGTAGGCTTTACGTGTGTTACTTTGATTTTAGATTGTCCGACAGTTTCTTTTGGGAACCGAGGACTGCCCTCAGCCAACATCCAAAAAGTCAAACTATCCAGATGATCGATGAGGATGTATGTCGCCAAGTGGTTGCCGATCATATTGTCAAAAGTAGTAGTAGAATTTAGCGCTCTTGTTGTTGTTGCTGCTCGTAGTTCCGTGTAACTGGAATGTAACTGCTTAGCCATGTAAGGTCTGGGACAAGACCAGGATGATGTAGATTAAAGTGTCAAAAGTAAAACGTCACACGTTTTCTTTGACCCTTTACAGACTCCTAAGACTCTGATTGTAAAATTCTCCTCTGTAGCTGCTACACATTTCCTTGTAAATTGGTTATAAGA